TATCAATGTATCCTGTATGGAAAAATCTTCGGGATGAAGAATTCCTCACCCAGAATGAGGGGAAGCCCATGAAATGCATATTCAAAAAAACTTTTTTCAAGCATTTTTTGGCTTTCGGTGGTATGACAAGAATTAGGGAAAAAAAACTCAATTTGATTTAAATAAACTTAATTAAATATCACTGGTATGGTTATTCATAAGATGGAATGAAAATTAAAAATACACGACACTGAATTAATGGAGTGTGGGAAGAACCTTGCAAGGAATAATACTTTTACTTGCCATAGAGGTATCCATACACAGGAGAAACCATATCAGTAAAAGAAGTGTGGAAAGAGCTTCAATAGAAATCCAGGTAGTTCTAGGTGTATGATTGCAATTGAGTCTCAAATTCTGTTGCTAAGTGAAACAGTTAAGTGTGTATTGCCCCATTTTATGATGTTTATGTAATAAATTTTACTACATAAAATTATTTCATGTAATGGAGGCTATGCAGCTATCCAATTTTTCTTTGAATAAATTACCTTATTCTATAAAGTCAGTTTGGTCAAATTTTTAAGATAACAGATCAGAGTTGGAAGGGACCTTGTAGGTCATCTAGTCCAACCCCCCTCCCAAGCGGGAGACCCATTTCTGACAAATGGCAGTCCAATCTCTTTTTGAAAGTCTCAAGTGATGGCGCTCCCACAACTTCCGCGGGCAAGCTGTTCCATTGGTTGATTGTTCTCACTGTCAGAAAGTTTCTCCTTATTTCCAGGTTAAATCTCTCCTTGTTCGGTTTCCATCCATTATTCCTTGTCTGGCCTACAGGTGCTTTAGAAAATAGCTTGACCCCTTCCTCTTTATGGCAGCCCCTCAAATAATGGAAGGCTGCTATCATATCTCCCCTGGTCCTTCTCTTTACTAAGCTAGCCAAGCCCAGTTCCTGCAACCATTCATTGTATGTTTAAGCCTCCAGTCCCCTAATCATCCTGGTTGCTCTTCTCTGTACTTTTTCTAGAGTCTCAACATCTTTTTTATAATGTGGTGACCAAAACTGGATGCAGTACTCCAGGTGTGATCTTTCTAAGACTTGATAGAGTGGTATTAGTACTTCCCTTGATCTTGACTATCCCTCTGTTAATACAACTTAGGATTGCATTAGCTTTTTTGGCTGCTGCTGCACACTGCTGGCTCATATTTAGCTGGTTGTCCATTAAGACTCCAAGATCCCTCTCACGGTTACTGCTATTGAGCCTGGTTTCACCCAGTCTATAGGTGTACTTTTGGTTTTTCTTGTCTTAAGTGTAGGATTTTACTTTTCCCTACATTGAATTCATTTTGTTAGATATGGCCCAGTGTTCTAGTCTGTCAAGATCCATCTGGATCTTGAGCCTATCTTCTTGGGTGTTAGCTATTCCTGCCAGCTGAGTATCATCTGCAAATTTGGTAAGTTCCCCTTCTATTCCCTCATCTTAAGTCGTTAATGAAGATATTGAAGAGTACTGGGCCTAAGACAGAGCCTTGTGGCACCCCACTGCTTACTTCCCTCCATGTAGACTTAAACCCAGCCAGTTGCGAGTCCATTTAGTGGTGGTGCTATCTATTCCACTTTTTTCTAGCTTCCGAAGAAGTAGGTTGTGGTCTACTTTGTCGAATGCCTTGCTGAAATCTAAATATGTCAACAGTATTTTGCTGGTCTACTAATTTAGTCACTGTGTTGAAGAATGAAATAAAGTTTTTAAAGTTTTAAAAAACAATTTTATTTTAATATTTTTTATTTAAAAAAAGAAGAAGAATTAAATAAGATTGGTTTGGCATGATCTGTTCTTAACAAACCCGTGCTGACTGCTAGTTATTACTTTACTTATTTCTAGATGTTGGCAGATCTGTTATTTTTTATTATCTTTTCCAGTATCTTCCCAGGTATTGATGTTAGGCTGATTGGTCTATAGTTTCCTGGGTCTGTTTTTTTTCCTTTTTTGAAGATGGAAACCACATCAGCTCTTTTCCAGTCCTCTGGTAGTTCCCCAGTGCTCCAGATACCATGCTAGAAACTGGGTGACTGTGAGTACTAGTTCTGTGTTAGACATGAATGCTGGCTGGGTGACTTTGGGCCAAAACTTTCTCAGTTGAACCCATTTCTCAGGGTTCTTGTAGGGAAAACAGGATGAGGAAGGAATATTGTCTGCTGCCTTTATTATTTATACTGTATAAAATGAAGGGGAAGATACATAGTGTATTCAGAAGGTATTCAGTCTCCTTTCATTTTGTCAATTTTGTTATGCTGCAGGCTGATTCTACAATTGTTGAAATTAGTTTGTTTCTCTCATTAATCTGCACTGGGTACCCCCAATAATGACAAAGTGAAAACAAAATTTTAAAAATGTGTGTAAATTTATTAGTTTCTAGCCTGGTATCTTAACCATTTGACCAAACTGACTTCATGGAAAAAGGAAATGTATTAAGAAAAATTAGAAAATTGCATATCCTGACTTTTTGGATAAAGGAAATTTTATTTTATTTTGAAAATAACTTTCTCCTCATGAAATGTAAAATAAATAGTTTTTATACAGAAGGTATTAGGAAGACTCTGAGGAAGAGGCTGAATGTACTGAGGAAGGTTCTGGCTACCAGGATTCACTATTCCCTCCTGAACCTGGTCACTGGGTTCCTGATGGCCCTGAGCTGCTATCACCAAGACCGGATGACCTCTGAGAGGTTTGTTCCCTTCTTAGAGATATGCCCACTTGTGTACCGAGTTTGGCATTAGCCTAAGTTGAGGATGGGGAGCTTTTCATCCAGAAATTCCCTTTGACTTTCAAAGATTCTGCTTTGCAGACAAGTGGAGATGAGTCTTTTATTGAAGTTGGAAGGTGCCCCAGCATGATATGGTGTCCAATACACTTTGGGAGTTTGTGGCACCATGGAATTGTCCCAGGTCAAAGGTTAAATCAGGGCTGGGATCCAATCCTATTATAGGAGGATCATTAGGAATACAGTTGGAATTGGGTCTTTGCTATAATCTTAGTTTGGACTCTTCATGTTTGCCCACAAAACAGCTGAAATATATTGATGATTCTTTTGCTAAATTTCAGAAGAAAAGGTTTGATTGTTCCCCTATTCTTGCTACAGTTCTCATTTTTCTTTTTCAAGGCTTTAATGGGCAAGAGAATAAGAATTGCAAGGAGGAATGCCAAGCGATCCATTTGAAAGAGGGGGGGAAGGAAATGTGTAGATCAGAAGCAACCAAAGAGTGATGAAGCAAAGCAATCACAAAATGGAATTAAAAAAAGTCTTCCTCGGCTCAGTTGGCTTCCTAACCATACAGCGATTGATATGGGGGAATGACCATATAAATCCATGGAGTTTGGAAAGAACTTTAATAAATCTGATCATCTCATCTCTCATAAAAAGGCACATTCTGAAGAGAAACGATTTACCTGCATGGAGTGTGGAAAGACCTTCTCTTATAATTACACTCTTATATGATCCACATAGTAGAATGACTGTATAAATGCATGGAGTGTGGAAAGCGTTTTAGGAAGAGTAGACATCTAACCTCCCATAATAGGATTCATCTTATAAATGCTTGGAATGTGGAAAGACCTTTACTCGTAGTAATGATCTTCATTTCCACAATTTGATCCACACTGGAGAGAAGCCATGTGGGAACTATGATTCTTTGTTCTTTGTGTACATGCTAGGACAACGGAGCCTTCTGGTGGTTGGCTGGAACACGAAGCAAGGAGCATGGACAAATTGTTGCCATTTCTAAACCAGGACTGTAGCAAACTTAAACTTTACAGCCTTGTATGCTTATGCGAATGATCAGTGCACGTTGTGTGATGTAATGCGTTTGTGATAGGACGTTAACAAAAATTGCTACGTTAACAAAGATTGCTTCTAATAAAAGAGGGTTTCGGAGTTTGCTCTGGGCTCTCATCCTGAGACAACCTTGCGTTGTGTCTTCTTTCCATGAGAGACCACCACAAGTGGTGACCCCGACGTGATCTGCTGTGGGCAGATACGGGTTCTGCTCTTCTGTACTTATTGCCTGGAAGAGGCAAAGGTGCGCACCATAATTGATAACTGTCGCAGGCGACGATTATCTTCGTAAGTATGGGAGGAAAACTGTCACAACATCAGGAGGAGTATATTACAGAGTTGTTGAAGTTAGTCAGAACCAATTTCTTTATCTTTAGTTCTTCTGGTAAGGAAAAAATTTGTCACGATCCAATGTTAAATTGTTAATGCATACTGTATGGATACAGTGTCCATGGTACCCTGAACGAGGTTCCTTAAAATTGGAAACGTGGAGACAGATTGGCAATGTTCTCCACGATGAGCCTCGAGCTGATTCAGAAGTTTTAACTTATTGGAAGATGGTTATTACTGCTTTAGAAGCCCAGCAACAGCCATTATTGAAACCATTATTGGACCCACCTCCGTATCAAAATAAGGTAGTCTTGTGTCCGCCTGTCTCGAGATTGGAAGATGTGGTATCTCCCCCGACAGCTCCTAAAAATCCATCAGGAGATGTCAAGGTGGGAAATCCTAAAATAAATACACCCCATGCTGGGCGAGTTCAAGCAGCTATGCAAGCAGCTTTTCAAGCAGGACAGCTGGAGGGGGAGGAGATTGACTCCATGCAATTGTTTCCCGTTCAGAGGCAAGTTGATAATGTAGGAAATTTACAGGCTGTCTGGAATCCACTGCCTTTATCTCTTTTACGGGAAGTAAAGAAATCTGTGAAAGAGTTTGGCATACAAAGTCCATATGTCCAGGGTTTGCTTCACAGTCTGGGGCAAGCTCAAAAGATGATTCCGCAAGATTGGAAAGACTTAATGAGAATGACTCTGAACGGGACACAATACGTGGTATTTGATGCAGAATATCAAAGAGAAGCAATTAACAGAGGAAATAATTCAGGGGGTTTGTATACACCTGATCAAATCTATGGGGCAGGGCAGTTTGCAACTGTGGAGCAGCAGGCAACAAATTTGCCTGATCACTGCTTCCCGGTTGTTATGACTGCTGTTATGGGAGCGCTGAGGCGAGTGGAGGAGGCAGGAGTGCCTACTAAATCTTTTTCACAAATTAAACAAGCAGCTGCCAAGCCATATGCAGATTTCATTGAGAAGCTCCAAAATGCCATTCAGCGGCAAATCTCTAATCCGGAAGCTGCAAAGGAACTTTTGATGAAATTGGCAGTGGAAAATGCAAATACAGATTGTAAGCGGGTTTTGCAGCCTTTGGTCGCGCGGGGGGAGGCAACCTTGGCAGATTTGATTAAAGCTTGTGCTGCAGTAGGTTCGCAATCTTATAACATGGAGACCTTGGCTGTAGCTTTGCAAAAGGGTTTTAAACCTACTGGGAATTGTTTCAACTGTGGGAAGCCTGGGCATTTCAAAGCACAATGCCGGGCCCCAGGGGGAGGTGCTGCTTTTTTTCGGAAGAAACTTCCACAGCGGAACTCAAATCCTGGGGCAAGTCCAAAAACAGTATGTCCCAAGTGTAAAAAGGGTTTCCACTGGGCGAATCAGTGCCGCTCTCAGGCTGCGCCTTCGGGAAACTGATAAGGGGGTACGCAGCTAACCCTGCTCCAAAGGTTGCACCTGTGCTCAATGCATCACCAGCGACTACAGGAAGTGCTGGTTTGGACTTACAAATGTTAAAAGATATCATTATAACTTTTCCAAATCAAGTTTATATTGAGGACACCCATTTAAAGGGCCCCCTTCCTCCGCAAACGGTAGGATTGGTCTTGCCTCGTTCCTCAGCTTCTAAGAAAGGGTTTTTTTGTGATTCCAGGGGTTATTGATCAGGATTATATAGATATTATAAAAATTCAATTTTATTCAGATGTACCTGCTAATCTTGCAGCTGGAGACTCCATTGCACAATTGATAGTGTTACCCTATACTCCAATTAATCCGTTGGTAGAGAAGCCTCAGATAGGGGGTTTTGGCTCTACAGAATGTTGTTCAGAGCTATTGGCTTTAGTGAAAAATATTAAACCATCTCAGCCCAAGTTAAATTTTCTAATAGAAGGGAAATTGTTTTCCGGTGTTGTAGATTCTGGAGCAGATGTTTCAGTAATTCGGCAAGAAGAATGGCCCAAAGAGTGGCCTACGGAAGATTCTCCGGCTGTAAGGGGGGTAGGAGGTATGCAATTTGCTAAAAGTAGTGTTAAATGGCTTGTGGTTACCCATGAATACAGGAGGCCAGGGGCAATTCAGGCTGTAATTCAGCCACTGGTAATGCCTTTGCATGTCAATTTATGGGGCCGTGATTTGCTTTCTCAATTTGGAGCTACCATAACTTTGCAGGATTGAAATGCTAAAATTAACTTTATTGTCCGAGGTTCCTGTGTGGGTGGACCAATGGCCTTTAACCACTGAGAAATTGTATGCTGATGGTGGGAAGCATTATGGAGCCTGTGTTTGGCAGCAGGATGGTAAATGGGTCACAAAAATTACACCCCTTCAAACCTCTCCGCAGCGTGCTGAATTGGCTGCGGCTATCTTGGCGTTGCAGCACTTTTCTTCACAAAAATTTAATCTTATAGTTGATAGCTTGTATGTTTACCAAACCTTAATTAACATAGAGTTTGCCTATCTCTCTCCTTCTACTGACAACAACCTGCTTAGCTTATTTCTTACTTTGCAGCAGCTTATGCAACAATGTGTGTATCCTCTTTTTGTTGCTCATATTCGAAGTCATCAGCCTTTTCCGGGTATTATCCAAGAGGGAAATAATGCAGCTGATGCCGCTGCAACCTCGCAAAATTCCTGCTTAACCATGGCAACCTTAACCCCATGGGATAGTCATAGTTACTTTCATCAGAATAAAAAGGCATCAAACAGTTTCGCCTTCCTGCGGAGGAGGCTGCAGCTATTATACAACAATGTCCTACGTGCAGCTTACAAGCAGCTGCTCTCCCTCAGGGTGTCAACCCCAGAGGGACGCAATGCTGCCAGCTGTGGCAAATGGATGTCACCCAGTATCCTGGGTTTTCCCCTTGGAAATATTTACATGTTTCAATTGACACTTATTCAGGTTTCATAATGGCTACCCCTCAAAGGGGCGAAGCCACAAAGCATGTTATTAATCATTGTTTGTGTACCTTTACTATTTTGGGCACCCCTCAGGAGCTGAAGACTGATAATGGGTCTGCATACACTAGTTCGGCTTTTGCCACCTTTTGTTCCACCTGGAACATAGTGCATAAATTTGGCATTCCTTACAATTCCACAGGTCAAGCTATTGTGGAGCGCGCTAATCAGACTCTCAAGCGCGCATTGGACAATCAAAAAACAAAAATAGGGGACATGGGGCATGGATTGCCAGGGTTACAAAATACCTTAAATATTGCATTATATACTTTAAATTTTCTCAACTTGACTGGTACACCAGCCACTACGGCGGCTAGCAGGCATTTTTCTTCTTTCCCTTCTGCAGGAGGCGCGAGGCCACTGGTGTTATACAGAAAACTACCTGACCCCACTTGGAGGGGGCCAGCTTCCTTGATAATGTGGGGTCGTGGCTATGCAGCAGTTGAAGACAAGAATGAAGTCATTTGGGTTCCTGGTCGTCATGTCCGCCCTTATCACAAGCCAGAAGTGTAAAGGGGAGAACCATGGGATGTGGGGAAAAAACTCTTATATTAAGGATGTGTCTCGAATTGCTCAATTGGAGAACAAAACTGTTTGCTGGGTATGTATGCATATGCCTACACATAAAACCGCAGGATTGCCATTGGTAGCTGTTCCTTTGAACGAGTCGCAATGGAAGAACATTGATTTTTCTAGTTATCAGGTGTTACAAGCTGCGGATGAGAACATGACCATGATTCCATTGGGCAGCAGTATACAAGAAACTGCTGGGGTATGTTGGACTCATAACATCAGCCATGGAAATTTAACAGATCTTGGTCGATATCCCCATTGTAATTACACATTGACAATACAGAATACAATGCGCAATAACACATTTTTAAATAACACTCTTAATGTATTTGCGCACAACTTTACTGGACATGACTGTGCTGCGCTAGTCACTGGGAATTGCCCTCGGATACAGAATGACTGTCTAACAAGTGTAACCACGGGAGGCAACCCGTTTCTTTGCAATATGATTTCAGGACTTGCTCAGCTTATTTTCTCCCAGGACAACAAGACTGTAAATATCATCGGTCAGGATTTGTGGCTGTTGTGCACAAGGAGGGGTTTGTGCTGTGATACATGCACACTGCTGCATGTATATTACTGATTCATCCCCTAACATCACGGCCACTATACAACACATGGAGGAATCCATTAGAGAGAATACTTTGCTGAATTATGGGGTCCCTTCTGATTTTTGGTCTTTCTTTTGGTCCTGGCTTCCTAATTCTGCTTGGCTTCGATCTATGATTATAGGCATTATAATTGTTGCTGTATATTTCATTTTCCTTTGTTGCTGTATTCTATGTCTCCCTGGACTGCTAACGACATGTAGAGACGTGACAAAGCCCTCGAGGGATCAGTTCCTATTGTCTGCAAAAACCTACTGAGGACTACGTTGGCATGAAAAAACAAAAACAGGGGAGATGTGGGAACTATGATTCTTTGTTCTTTGTGTATGTGCTAGGACAACGGAGCCTTCTGGTGGTTGGCTGGAACACGAAGCAAGGAGCAAGGACAAATTGTTGCCATTTCTAAACCAGAACTGTAGCAAACTTAAACTTTACAGCCTTGTATGCTTATGCGAATGATCAGTGCACGTTGTGTGATGTAATGCATTTGTGATAGGACGTTAACAAAAATTGCTACATTAACAAAGATTGCTTCTAATAAAAGAGGGTTTCGGAGTTTGCTCTGGGCTCTCATCCTGAGACAACCTTGCGTTGTGTCTTCTTTCCATGTGAGACCACCACAAAGCCATATCAATGCATGGAGTGTGGAAAGGGCTTTACTTATAGAAGTCATCTTAATGCCCACAAAAGCAGCCATGCAGGAGAGAAGCCATATAAATGTGTGGAATGTGGAAAGGGCTTTATATGGAATTCTGCTCTTAGCACCCATACAAGAATCCACACAGGAGAGAAACCATATCAATGCATTGAGTGTGGTAAGAGCTATACTTGTAGCAGTAGTTTTCATCACAAGAGGATCCACACAAGAGAAAGACCTTATAAATGCATGGAGTGTGGAAAGAGCTTTGCTCGTTGTCATGGTCTTAATTACCACAAGAGGAGCCACACAGAATCGAAGTCATATAAATGTTTGCAGTGTGGAGAGGACTTTAGAAAGAGTTGTGATCTCACGTCCCATAAAAGGATTTATACGGGAGAAAAAACCATATGAATTCATGGAGTGGAGCTTTTTAAGAAGCCACACTTTTACTCGCCATAGAAGCATCCACACTCGGGAGAAGCCATATCAATAAAAGAATTGCAGATAGAGCTTCAAAAGAAATCCAGATAGTCCTCAGTGTATGACTGCAAGTGAACCCTAAGTTTCTGTTCCTAAGCGAGACAAGTGTGTTTTGCCCCATTTTATGAGTTTTATTGCCACATTGTTAGTGAATCACTGTAGTTGTTAAGTTAGTAACACTGTTATAAAATGAATCTGGCTTCCCCATTGGATTTGCTTGTCAGAAGCTCTCAAAAGGTGATTGTATGATTCAGAGACACTGCAACTGTCAATTTGATCAGGTGACCTTGGGGATATTGCAACGGTAATAAATGTGGAAAATTTTTCATAAATTACGTTTTTCAGTTTTGCTTGTAACTTTGAACAATCAGTAAATGAACTGTTTTAATTCGACAACTCACTATAGTTGTCTAAAATCTCATACATGTGAGTAATAATTCAAATAAATTATATACCTTCTTAGATATGCATGCATAAATTGTTTTTCTAGTGCAAGTCAGAACAAGGTGAATCCCAAATCCTGCTTGTTGTTGCCTCAATACTTCTGTTGGGCTAAGTATCTGGGCCGAGCCCCTTCTCTGGCTGTTTTGCGTTTTCCATCCCAGCTCGTCTGAGGAAGTCTCAAAAGTGAGAGGTCTCATTTCTCAGACTATCATTTTGGTTTTTTTCCTTATTTATCTTTAATCCTGCAACCTCTCTGTACTCCTCTAATTTCTCGATGAGTCTTGGGCCTGATTTCAATGGCTCCTCTAAGATGGAAACTAGATCATTTGCACATGCTTGTAGTTTATACTTTTCTCTTTTGATTTCCATTCCTTTGATTTCCTCATCTTGCCTGATGTTTCTAGTTAATACTTCCAGTGTTAAGATAAATAATATGGAGATAGTGGACAGCCTTGCCTTATACCTTTTCTTATTGGAAAATTTTCAGTTACCTCACTATTCCACAATCACTTTAGCTTTCTGATTTGTATATAGAATAGAATAGAATAGAATAGTTTATTGGCCAAGTGTGATTGGACACACAAGGAATTTGTCTTGGTGTAAATACTCTCAGTATTACATAAAGAAAAGGTACATTCGTTAAGAATCAAGAATCATAACATAAAACACTTAATGATAGTCATAGGGTACAATTAACAATCAAATCATACTAGGAAACAGTTAATATAAATCGTACGGATACAAGCAACAAAGTTACAGTCCTACAATCACAAGTGGGAGGGGATTGGTGATGAGTGATGAGAAGATTAACAGTAATAGTAGTGTACACTTTGTAAATAGTTGAACAGTGTTGAGGGAATTATTTGTTTAGCAGAGTGATGGCTTTCGGGAAAAAACTGTTCTTGTGTCTAGTTGTTCTGGTGTGCAGTGCTCTATAGCGTCGTTTTGAGGGAAGGAGTTGAAACAGTTTATGTCTGGGATGTGAGGGGTCTGTAAATATTTTCACAGCCCTTTTTTTGATTCGTGCAGTATACAGGTCCTCAATTGAAGACAGGTGGGTAGTAATTGTTTTTTCTGCAGTCCTAATTATCCTCTGAAGTCTGTGTCTTTCCTGTTGGGTTGCAGAACCAAACCAGACAGTTATAGAGATTTAGATAATAGACTCAATAATTCCTCTGTAGAACTGTATCAGCAGCTCCTTGGGCAGTTTGAGCTTTCTGAGTTGGCACAGAAAGAACATTCTTTGTTGTGCTTTTTTGATGATGTTTTTTATGTTAGGTGTCCATTTTAGGTCATGTGATATGATAGAACCTAGAAATTTGAAGGTCTCTACTGTTGATACTGTGTTGTCTAGTATTGTAAGAGGTGGTAGTATGGGAGGGTTTCTTCTAAAGTCTACCACCATTTCTACGGTTTTCAGTGTGTTCAGTTCCAGATTGTTCCGGTTACACCACGAGGCAAGTTGTATAACCTCCTGTCTGTATGCAGATTCATTGTTGTCTCGAATGAGACCAATCACTGTTGTGTCATCAACAAACTTCAGTATTTTAACAGATGGATCATTTGAGTCATTAGTATATAGGGAGAAGAGAAGTGGAGATAGCACACAGCCTTGGGGGGGGGGGGGGGGCTGTGCTGATTGTAGAGGTAACACATTCATAAATTTATCTCTAAAGTCCAAATATCTTAACTGGTGTAGCATGAATTGCCAGTTGACATTATCAAACACCTTTTGAGCATCTAGGAACAACAATGCCAATTGCTTTTCATTATGTGCTTTGTAGTGTTCCAATGTATCTAATATTACTCTCATATTATTTCTTATCTACCTTTTAGGTAGAAAACCATTTTGATCAGGGAGTATGTGTATGAACTCCTTCAAGAATCTCTTCAGCCTTTCTGCTGCTATTGTGGCAAATATCTTGTAGCTCTTTGTATATTTCTGTCGGGAGCCCATCTGGGCTTGGTGTTGTGTTGGTTTTTTGTTTTTTGATCGCCTCTGCTAATTCTGTTGTAGTTATTTTCTCATTCAGCATAGATTTCATTATTTTTGGCACTTTAGGTAAATTAGCTTTTCCCAGATATTGTAGTATTTTCTCCTCTGCCAAAGTGGAAGTTTTGATGGCCATCGATGAAGAAGTACATAGAAACCTATGTGGCCAGCTGTCCTGTGTACTTCAGTTAAGAGGCTGCTGTCAACCCTGAAGTGAATCTGGCTGAGATCATCTTGGAGGCTTTAGTGTTGCCACAAGGGAGAAGGAGGGGGGGGAAATAGTTAGCTGGGGATTTGTAGTCAAAACAGAGTTTTCCTGTGGGAACCAACGATAATCCAACAGGTGGCTGAGGAAAGGAGGAGTTAAGTAACTAAGCAACCGGCCAGCACTTTGATTGGACAATGTGACTGATGACTTGGGGGAAGGGGGAATTTTTATTTTTTTAATTAGGTGAAAACCGCAGGAACCTTCAGAGTCAGTTTTCACCAATTGCGCCAATATTAAATGTCCAATTAATCGTTCCTTGAGGAATCTACATGCCTTGGAGCTCTGTTTTCTTTGGGTACCTTACTTGGAGGCTGCCCAGTAAGCCTCCAGGACTGTTGCAAACTGTGGCCAGCTACATGGCTCCCTAGAAGACAATGTCTATGGACTTTATTGTGGAACTATCAGAGAGTGCTGGGAAGACTGTGATCTGGGTTATTACGGACTTATTTTCCAAACAAGCCCACTTTGTGATGTGACTTAGGATCCCTTCTGCTTGATCCTTGGCTAGACTGTGTATAGTACATGTACCGATAGTATGGTGTTCAGAAATGCATAATCTCAAATCAAGGAGGTTTTATTGACCCTGCCAAATCAAGACTAGCTGCCCCCATGTTGTTCAAGGAGAAGAAAGATGGAGGGTTGAGATAGTGTGTTGACTTTAGAGGGGTGAACACCATATGCATCAATACATGTACCCTCTCCCCCTTATGAAGGACTTATTGAACCACCTGTCGAAGGGCAAGATATTCACCAAGCTAGATCTCAGGGAAGCTTACTACCAGGTCCCGCATCAAAGAAGGAGATGAGTGGAAAACTGCTTTTAACTGCCCTCTGGGTAGCTTCCAATTTAAAGTCATGCCTTTCAGACTTCAGGGGGTTCCTGCAGTGTTTATGCAGCTCATCAATGAGGTGCTACACCCGCACCTTTACCGGGGGGTTCTTGTGTACCTGAATGACATCTTTATCTTCAGCGAAACCATGGAAGAACATGTTCAATTGGTCCGACAGGTTCTAGAAAAACTTCTAGCCACCAAATTATATGTGAAACTCTCAAAATGCGAATTCCACAAAGAGTCGCCAGACTACTTAGGCTACCGAATATCCAACCTGGGGATTGAGATGGACTCTGGAAAGGTGAAAGCGGTGCTGGACTGGCAACCCCCCAGAACCCAAAAACAACTTCAAAGTTTCTTGGGGTTTGCCAACTTCTATAGACAATTCATTCAGTCCTTTGCTGAAGTTACCCTCCCGTTGACAGAGCTATTAAAAACAGGCCCATCACCCACAAAACCAAAGCCAAGTCAACCCCTGGCTTGGACTATGGACTGTCAGAAAGCTTTCGAGGCCTTAAAATGCCTCTTTGCAGCTGAGCCCATCCTCCAGCACCAAGATGCGACCAAGCCTTTTATTGTCCAAACGGATGCAAGTGATGTAGCGGTGGCAGCTGTTTTGCTGCAAAAGGACTCTCAAGGCCGACTGATGCCTTGCGCTTATGTGTCCCAAAAGCTGACAGACACAGAGTGAAGGTGGGCGGTCTGGGAGAAAGAAGCATTAACTGTACGATGGGTTTTGTTGTCTTGGAGGCATTTTCTAGAAGGGGCACCAGAGCCCTTTGAGGTATGGACTGATCATAAGAACCTCAAGGCTCTAAAGACCCCTAGGAGATTATCGCCCAAACAAGTCCGCTGGGCCCAATATTTCAAGCAATTCAATTTTAACATTTAATATATCCCCAGAGGGAAAAACGTACTGGCGGGCACTCTGTCCAGTTTGACAGCCACCGAGAGGAAATAGTACAAGTCTTAATTTCAGAAGGTCAATCGGCAGGCCAAGTAACCACTCGAGCCCAAGCCAACCGCAACCCCAAATACCTGGAAGATAAGCTGATTACAGAATTGAAAACGGCCCTAATGACCGACCCTTGGTTCCTGGACCATCAAACCGAGTTGACAATGAATGATGGGCTAGCTTGGAAAGGGACTAAGCTTTATGTACCCACAACTAAAACGTAGCCACGACTCCCAGCTGGGAGGCCACTTTGGATTCCTAAAAACCCTACATTTACTGAGAAGACAGTTCTGGTGGCCAAAAATGAAACCTGATGTCGAGGACTATGTAAAAAGTTGTTCAATTTGTGCCACAATGAAACATAGAACTGGAAAACCTCCTGGCCTCCTGCAACAAGTTGCTGAACCAACCTGACCTTGGGAAGAGATCGCAATGGACTTTATTGTTGAATTATCTAAGAG